AAAAAATCACAATGAGGTCCAAGGTAAGAAATTACCTCAAAATGGTAAAATCAAAAAAAGTATGGGAGGAGCCTTGTGCGGTAGCAACGACAGAGAAATCACGATGTCTGGCTAGAAGTTCTGGAAAGAGAGGACAGAGAGAATGAAGAGTGCAAGCCAGTGAAAAAAATGGGGGAGAGAAGAAGCCTTGAGGACCTGAAGAATAAAGAAAGGCTCTAAAAGAAGAAAGACCACCAAGGGATGAAGGAGCCATCCCGATGCTGGCTGCAGACTTCTTGTCAGGAACACCAGAAGTCAGAAAGCAATGGGGCTCACATTTTCAGCATTTTAGGAGAAAATGGTTTTGACCCTCCATTTCTACACAAGATTGAGTTAGCATTTAAAAGGATGGTAAAATAAAGACATTCTCGGACCTGCAGAGCCTCAGAAAATTACCAGCCAAAAGGCTTTTGTGAAAGATTTGCTGAAAGATGTTTTCACACAGAATGCAGATGCACACTGAGGAGGAAGAGAGTAGGGAGGCATCGAAAGGGGCTCTAAAAGCCTCAAAGTGTGGAGCTGGGGACCCAGCAAGTGATGGCTTGAACTTCATGTTCATTAAAGAGGTGAAGGCGGCTATGCCTGAGGGGAGGAGCTCAGTGTCCTCAGAATGGAAGGGAAAAGAAAGTCCCAAGATGGAGCAGCAGGAGGCCTCATGGCCAGCGGAGGAGAAGAAAACTCTGGGATGGAGGAGGCAGAAGAGGAGTGGGAAGAAGTAACCTGGGGTGAGGAGAAGGAGGAGGAAGAGGAGGAGGAGGAAGAAAACTCAGGGACAGAAGTGGAGGGAGAGGGAAACTCTGACATGGCAGAGGAGCAGGAAGAAAAAGAAAACTCAGAAATGGACAGAGAAGAGGAGGAGCAGCAGCAGCAGCAGGAGGGAGAAGGAAACCTAAGCACAAAGGGAGGAGAGGGCTCAGTGTTGTGTGAGGAACTTGCCTGTAGTTATTCGGTTAGGGAGAAGGAAAGGTTGGGGCGGCTCCAGGAGGTGTACAATGCTGAGGAAGAAGAAAAGGAAAGAGCTGCTTCCAGAGATTGAGATACTCAGTTCCCACCTTGCATTGGACCTCTCTCTCCGAATCACTGGACAGCAGTTCTGATGAGCGTGAGAAGTGTTCACTGGCAAGTCTGACTGCTACATCAGGAGTTACCAAGGTTTTAGGGAAAACAGAGGAAAAGAGAAACAAGATTCTGAAAATAGAAGAGCTGATGGCCAAAGCAGACTCAATCCAGGAAACTGAAAATTTCAGAAGAGTGATCAGCATCTTCAGGGAGATACAAGAGGAGATTGAGAATACCCAGACGTCTCAGAAATCAAACATTCAGTAGATGACCTGCACAGTAGAATAGGTAAAATCAAGGAAAGAATGAGCAATCTAGATGACCAAATGGAAGAAGTATCTAAGGATACAGTACAAATGTCCAAGCAGCTCATGAGTAACAAAAAACTACCAGAGACAATGAATTCAGAAGCTCCAACATCCATGTCATAGAAGTTCCAGAAAAGGGAATAGGGCAGAGTATAATTAAAACAATAATTGAAGAAAAATTTTCTGAGATAAGGAAAGACTCAAGCCTTGAAATTGTTAGTACTCATCAAATCCCCAGCAAGGTTAATGAGAAACAATTCACTCCTAGCTACTGTGGAAACCAGTACGGGGATTCCTTAAAAAACTAAAACTAGAAATTCCATTTGAGTTATTCAGTTATTTTCCTTTGAGGTATCTTCCTGAAAGAGCTAAAGACATCATGTCACAGTGATACGTGTACACCCATGTTTACGGCAGCACAATTCATAGTGGCTAAACCTTGGAAACAGCCTATGTATCTATAAATAGACGACTGGATAAAGAAAATGTCCATTTATACAATGATGCTCTACCCTGGCATAAAGAAAGAAACTTGAGTCATCTGTAGGAAAATGGATGTACTAGGAGGCCTAATGTTAAGTGAAAGAAATCAAACATACAAGCTTAAATGTTGCCTGGCTTGCCTTACGTGAGAAACTCAAAATATAAAAAAGAACCAGATATAAAAGTGGGGGATAGATCTTTCTCAAATGGGAAGGGGATCAAGAGATGGAGGGAAAGGGGGGGGGGAGGAAGGGAAGGGGATGCAAAGGAATTAAGGTGTGTCCTGTTCATGAACCAGCTCCACACAAGGAGTAGAAACATTACACACTGCAAACATGTACTAATAAAAAATAAAACTTAGTAGGCCAGATGAGACTTAGAATAGTGGCTAATTATTGTCTCAAAGACGCTATGTGGGACACCTAAAGAAAAAAACAAATGGAAACGAAATATGATAATTTCTTTATGTTTTTCTGGTGAGTTTTCCCTGTTAAATAAGTAGGATGGGCCATACTGGGTCAAGGAAACAAGGATGTGGACTCCTAAGAACTTTTGCACCATTATTTTTCTCCAGAGTTCTTTGGCATTTTTGAGCCTCTTCCTTACGATTTTCCTAAGGCAGCCCTCAAGGATTGAGATGTGCCTTTCAGTTTCTAGCATCCCAAGGCTAAAAGCAGAAACAACTACGGCAGCAGGCAGGGGACAGAGCAGAAGAGTGACGTGGAGGATGATGACGTGGATGGCTCATGCTTCTCCTGTCCTGATGATAAATGCCAAATGGCATTTATCTTTCAAATAAATATGGGTATTTAAGTAAAGCCACATATTTTTTTTAATGTTGCCTCATTTTAAGAACATTCTTGGCTCATGGAAACACTTTTCTCTGGCTTGCATTCCATGGGAGCCACCCACTTAATCATGGCCCAGGCCGCAGCACCGCTTGAGGGCCAACCCGGAAGAGTGTTCAGGACTGACCTCTGAGGCCAGGGAGAAGCCCACTTCCCCAGCCATTCTGTGCACTTGGTACTTGCTTCCCTCCTGCTTCAGGTAGAGTTGTTTCCTGTTCTTGCAAATGAACCCTGAATGATAGCTAAATATAGTCAAATTGTAATTTGGAGATATAGCATCAAAAAAAGATTTATTTGAAATAAACTTCAAAAAAAAAAAAGGGGGAAGAATATCATAGATAGGTGACTCTAAAAAATTTCTCCTATATAAATCAATGTGCTAGCTAGCAGCAGCATAAAGAAAAGTACCGAGAATTCTAGCACAGCTCTGAGAATACGCACAGAGACATGCGTGCAGAGGTAGGCTTCAGGCTGGGAAGGAAGGACTGGGTGTGGAGGGAAGGCTACATCCTGAGGACAGCTTTTGAATACCTGGGACTTTAATCCCTCTGGTCAAGTGGCTGGAAATTTAACAATAACAACCCCCAGAACCACCAAAAGCCAAGCAAAAATACTTTTATTTTTGTTCTGAGAATTTCAGTAATGATTTAAGCACATGTCTAATTACATGTCCCCGTTAATTACCGTAGTAGCAAACAGTAAGAACATATTATGGCATCCTATGAAAATTGTTCCTGACCTTGTTGAGAACTGGGACTTTTCAGCTATCTTCTGAGGTTGCATTTATATTTGCAACCAGAAGACCTTTCTGCAGCCTCATGTGTTCATCTATACCATACCGATGGGATTAACTTACACACCAAATAGAAATGTTCAAGGTATTGCATGTGACTTTAAGTCACTTTAAATGTCTTCAATCCAGGGGAGCTAACCAAATCAAATAACTTTGATGTAGTTCAAATGAGCTAAATAATTTATAATGAAGCCTTATTTGTCGGCCCTGTAAAGAGAAAAATCTAAACTCAGACTTGGCTAAGATTTGTGGCTACCTGGACATTTGTTCCAAGTCTCAGGACATACTTTATGCCTAACTTGCTATCTACCTGCTCTTGTATCTGGTCAAGAGAGAACAAGAAGAAAGAACTAATACAGCAAGTTAAACTACCAATGTCTAACTTGCCAAAAGACAAAGGTAGATTCTATAGATATGCAGGTGTTAAAAATGATCTAGCATATTGATTTATCTTTTTGAAATTAAACTAAGCTACCAGCCTAGTGGTGGAAAATGACTTACAGTGTAAGAAATACTGCCTCTGGATACTTTTTTGGAGGGGGCAGTGCTGGAGATCAAACCCATACATGCTAGGAAAATATTCCTAGAACTGAGCTACAGCCCCAGCCCATAAATCTGATCATGATTTTTTCTCATTAATGGCAGCTGAACCCAGTGCTTTTGTACTGAGCTACATCTCAAGCCCCGATCCTTGTTTTTATTTTTTATTTTGAGACAGGGTCTTGATAAATTGCCCAGGTTAGCTTCAAACTTCTGATCCTCTGGCTTCAGCCTTCCAGAGTTCTGGGCTTATAGGTCTGAGCCACAACACTCAGCTTCATCTTGATGTTTGAGAGCTAGATTTCAACAAAAGTTCGTTTAACATTTAATAAATAATAATTATATCTATATCTATTACTCTCTTCTAGAACTGAAGTTATTTATAAAACTGTACATATAAAAAGAGAAAATAAACAGTAGATCTTAATCATATCTGTAAAGATTTTTTTAGCCATATATAGTAATATATTCATAAGTTCCAGGAATTAGGACATGGACAACCCTGGGAGCCATCACTCTGTTTACTACAGTCACTAAGGTCACACATACAAAACAGAATATGTTTCAAAACAGAATCCTAGGAGATTAAGAATATGTAAATGTCTTTGTGACTATCCATGTAATATTTACCAAGACAACTTGCTTAAAAAATTCATTAAGAAATTACTAAGATGAAAACAGCGCAAGATTTGTCTTTTTCCATAGATCCAAATGTATAATTTCTATACCACAAACTGATTAACTGTAAAGAAGACCTTTCCCTCAGATGTATTTCATCACAGCAGAAATCAGCATGTCCCCTCTGTCTTACTTATGAGGTGAGCATCGGGCACATCCTGGGTGCCAGAGTCAAAGACACTGCTATAGGTCTACTGTTGATAACGTGGTAACAGTCTGCCTGGTAAACTGATTGTGCTTGCTAAGTATTACCTGTTTGAATAAAGCGTAGTCCTGTCTTGTGGGCAATGTTCACTGACATATAAGGAAGAAGACGAAATAGTGGTTGCCAAGGAAGCGGCTTCAAACAGTGATGGAGTGCTAGGGACCAGGTCTGGCCTGTGTCGAGATCCCAGAGCTGGGGAATGAAAGCAACACACACTCATGAATCTCAGTATCACATACTGCTTCAGTACCTATAGTAATTTCAATGAGTCAAAAGTATTCATTTTACACATTGAGCTGCAAATGAAATTATGAATTAGCTATGCTCTTCTGAACTACAGTAGAAATGTAAAAGAGCTGCTTGCAAACAGGTTAAACAGAAAGGAAATTAAATTAATTTGCAAAATTGCTTATGGAAATGATATTATGAATGTTCTTTTACAAATCTAATAAAGTGATTTGCTATTTCAAAAAGATGGCATTAAGAAGTCCTAGGAGATTAAGGAGATAATTTGACTGAGATTGAAAGCATGACTGGCAGATGTGTAACCAGAGCAAACCTGCTTTGCTCCCCCTGTGAAATGCACACGCCTGTGTCCCTCAGTTTAGACCTGAAATGACTTTTCACAAGCTGCAAAATGCTTCAACAAACCAAGAGTCCATGACTGAGTCCACACATGCCTTTAAATGCGACCCAGGCTCTTGACCTTATACCTTAATAGCAAGCACGCATTATGAAAAGTGAGAAAAATCCTATTTCTTTTGAAAAACCTAGGAGCCCATGAAATCATACAAGAAGCATCTCTTTTTGGGAAAGAAGAATGTTCTAGACCCACAATGGCCCATGCCCACTTTGATAGAATCTATGTAGATTCTTTTTCACCTTTCCCCCAAACTGAAAAAAAAAATGTAATAAATACAATATAACCTTACGGGGTTTCTGGCATTTCCCGATCGGCACTGCATATCCAACAGTATGTATTTTCAGTGTGGAAATGGACACTGGACCAAATATGCACTGTCATGGGAGTGTGGGTTTTCTTTTCTTTTTTTGTGGTGCTGGGAATTGAACCCAGTGCCTCTGTGTGCAAGGCAGCTTCTCTAGCAATGAGCTGCAGCCCAGCACCAGGATCTTGGATCTGAAGGAGTTTATGTGGTGGGATAGAGAGAGGCATGGAGAGAAAATGGAGGCAGTACAGGAAGCACTGCACTTTATGAGGCCAGACAACAATGCATAAAAAGTTCTGGATGGTGGAGTTCTGCCTCCATTTAGGTCAAAATAAATCTCATGTTTGAATGTTGACCTTTGGTCATTCATGATTTTATAAAATCATCATCTAGAACTGTTTCTCCATCCTCCTGGTTTTTTTTTTTTTTTTCTTTTTTAAATCAACGTGGCAGGTAGAATTCTAAGAGAACTCCCAGTGCCCCACGCTTTTGTCTGATCTTCCTTTGAGTGTGGGTGATTCTGATGAATACAATGAGATATCACTGCTGGGATGATTCTGTGTGACCTGGCAAAAGGGATTCTGCAATGTAATCCAGGTTGCTTTGAACTGGTAACTCTGAATTGGTCAAAGGAGAGATAATCCAGGGGGCTTGATCTAATCACATGAGCACTTTATTTATTTATTTATTTTTGGTTTTTTTATTTTTCTCTGGTACCGGGAACCGAACTCACGACCTTGAGCTTGCCAGGCAGGCGCTTTGCCACTGAGCTAAATCCCCAACCCCTCACATGAACACTTTAAATCTGGGTCTAGAGGTTGGAGGTAGGCAATCCGAGAGTGCAAATGTTGAAGGGAAATGTCAAGGAATTCTTTGTTTGCGCATGGTGGAGGTTGCACAGCAAGGAATGTAGGGGGTCCCTAGGGGCCAGGCAGGATTCTCAGTTGTCACAGAGAAAGAAAAGGGGCCTCCCACCTAACACAGCAGCGAGGAACTGAATTCTTCCAACAACACAAATGACTCAGAAAGTGGATTCCTCTATAGTACTTCCAGAGAGGAACTCAGTCCAGCTGGTCCCTGATTTCTGCTTTTGAGACCCCTGAGAAGACAACCCAGGTGAGATGTAGCCAATATTCTGACTTACAGAACTACTAGCTAATAAATGAGTATTGCTTTAAGATGCTGAATTTGTGATGATTTGTTACAGGACAGTAGAGAAGGAACGCAATCCAGACATAGCAAGGATGCCAAAAACAAATGGGTAAAAGCTAGAGGGAAATTTGTCCATAATTTAATGCACCCTGAAAGGGGAAGTTCCCAAGCATAGGGCATGGGAAAGAGGCCAAACCCTGTACATAAAAGACTGCAGAGAAACTCATTTGATAATGGCATGCTACAGTCTCAAAGAATACGCTCTTAAACTTCTGAGACCTTTTCAAGTATAATGTCTCATAACGTGAAGCAAAAGGCCCAACGAGGCACGAGAAAAGAATACAGTATGGGTACTCCCACGTTTCCAGGTATGTGGATACATGTAGTGTGTTTCTTCATATTTCTTTTTCTAGATTAACAACCGGCCCCGCTGCTTGAACTTTAGAGGTCATGGTGAGCGCACTATTTGAAAGCCTCATTAATATAGTTTAGAAGTAAGTTCATCCCCGGACTCAGAAGTCCTCTCTGTCCTTATTGCTGGGCCACACTGCTGCCCAGCCCAGGCTGGGGAAGAGGTAGCCAGGCCCTGGCAGCAAAGTTACAGAGCATAGGGATGTGGTGTGAACCTGCAGAAGAAACTGCTCCTAGAAGGTGGGACTGAGAGCCAGACCGAAACACCCATCTACTCAGCCAGGCCCCCTGGTCTGTGCACGGAGCCACTGTCACCACTGGGCACTGTGCAAATCTTAAGGCCACGAATGACCTCAGAAGCTTGCCCTCAGGAAGCTCAGCATCTCCCCAGCTTCATAAAACCAAAGGCAAAAGTGGACAAAAAAAGCGAAGGGCTTATAAGAGACTAAAAGTGGGAAGATAAGGGTGGCAACTATTTGATAATGGGGATTATTTGTTGGATGATATTTTTTATGTTTTCAAAAAAAAAAGTGTGTCCTACTTTCCAGGCTGTAATTTTCTTCTGTTTCTTAGACACCATTAATTTTATGTGCGTGCTCAGAAAACCAGGTTAGTATGATGGGGGAAAAGCCAAGGCAGTGTAGCTTAGGGGATGGCGATAAATATGTTTCAGGAACTGGGGCTTCGGTGCAGAGAGGGCCAAGAGCGAGTCATTAACGCTTCCACTGAAACTGCTAACTCTGGATACAAGTTGGTTTATGGGAAGACGAGAAAGAAAGAAACCCAATATAGCACTGGTAGATGAATGCTGCAGAAGTGGATGGGAATAACACCCGATTCTAAGGTTTCAGTTGAAAAAAGAAAACCCCTCCAAGAGATCTTGCCTTCTACAGGAAGTTGAAGATCTTTTTTAGGAAACGCTGGGATTCTCCAGAGAATATACTGCTAGAAAAATCTAAAGGGACACTTCTACTTATTGGACTGGAAGAGAAAAACCAAATGATCAACTCAGAAATTAGAGTAGTTAGAGACGTGCATTGAAAGGATTCAGTACTCATTCTTCATATAAAGTTTTAGCAAACTAGCCATAAAAAGAGAGCTTCCTTGACCTGACTATGGGCACTAACTCTAGCAAAGGTTTTTCTCAACATGAAACATTACAAGCATTCCCTTTAAAATCAGGACAAGAAGAGGCTGTCCACAGTCAACACTTCGATTCATCAGAAGTACTAGCCAGCCCCACTCAAAAGCATGAAAAAAGTGGAGTGTGGGGTCTATGTAGCAGCAACAAACAGCCTGACCATCCAGTTCTTAAAATGGTACTACTTTTTAAAACCTACATGAATCAATTTCTGTATCTATGCACGGAATAAATCTAACAAAAGAGATGTACAGTATTCAAGTGTAGCAAGAAGAATATTGTGAAATTTCAAATTCATTAAAGAAGATCTAACTAATTGAAGAAGAAACTTGTGACATTTATGTGTATATTTATATGTGCACAGAATAAGGTTAGGAGTTAAAATGTTAGTATTTAATATTATCAGGTAGTAGGATCATAGATTTTTTTGGAATATTTCAGTATTACATAATTTCTATCATCAATCATAAATGTATTGTTTATAATGGTATTTAAAGTTTACATGAACTATAGTATACTATATGTAGCCTTTAAAACTTTAATAGATTACTATCTGAGAATACTTTCTAATTTTTCTACTCTGAAGTTATATAAGTTTTATAAGTAAACCATGGATTTTTCTTTATTACTGAAGTATCTTATCTGTACCTTCTTCATCGAGGCTGCTAAAACTTTGTCCTTCAGTCAGCAAGTCATGCTTCTCATCCTTCCACTCCTGGCTAACTGAGGACACAATCTCCTGGGAAGTTGCCTTTAAGGCAGCGATGGAATTGCACCATTTCTTAGAAGGTGAGGCTTTCAAAGCTAGACAGAAAGGAAAAAGGAAAGACAAAAGAAAATACTTATAAAACCACATGCACATTTAAAAATTAATATTTTATTTATTATTTAACATCTTACTATCTGAGTAGAAGGAAAAAGCCTTTATATATAGAAAGCATGCATATATACATACGGAGATGAAATTGTATTTTGGCCATATTATTTGTCCAAAATGACATGGCTTAAAAATATCCCGGCATAAATTAGAGTTGAAGTTCCCAGAATTTGAAATAAAGTCTTATTTGAGGTGAATGCCACATGTTTTCTTACCAAAGAATTATTTTTTCTCCTTCGAACAGTGTTTTTCCAGTGCTGGGAGCATCTGGGTGAATTGGTAAATGCAGATGGTAAAGTATGGAGAGTTCTCATGACCCCAGTTTTATTAACTGGAGGCTGGGAATTTCTAAACATGCCAGTGCTTAACCTTATACACATGTTGCCCCACTCAGCTAAAGTACTTCTGGTTGGATTTTTCTTTCTGTGAATTTCCACTGAAATTTCCTACTCAGTATCTTTTCTAGGTCAGATTACATCAGATGTGTAATTCACTCCCCATTTTTGTCCAAGTGGCATTCTCCAACTCGTGAGTGTGTTGGGAACCTGAACCCACGAACATGAGCTTGGGCATCCTAACGTGCTTGCTAAGGCTGTGACTTCACATAGGGTACAAAGGAAGCTGCAGCTGGACCATCCCCACTTAGATGCACTTTTCATTGCCATAATTCTTCTTGGCTTAATATTGTTAAAGAATCTGCTTGGAGGAAACTGGAAAGGGAGAGGGAAGTTGAGGCTTATTTATGCTTTCCTTAAGCTTGTTTCTGGCAATATCTCTTCTCCTTCGGAGGTTAGCATAAAAGGATAAGCTGTCAGCAAATGCATTAGAATAACTGTGATTAGCTTTGGGGATTTCAGAGTGTAGACTGCACTGCTCATCTGGGGCCTGCCCATGGGCAGCTTGCAAGAACTTAATTGGAGAAGGACTTTGGGATTCACAAATGAGGGAAGAATAAAGGGCATTCGCTCTGCTTACTGAGATGAGAAGGTTTATATGTCCCCTGGGTAACCTTATAATTATAATAATATTGTCATCATTCATAAATTGTGTGCATTGCCTTGGAAGGCAGCATTCACACTGTACATCTCAAAGTATCCAACTGTCTGAGGAAAGTTTCTCCTTTTAAAGGTCAAGCAACCAAGATTAGAAAGACTGACTAGCTCCAGGTCACAGAGCTAGACAGCGTGAATTCCATGGATCTGTTTTGTTTTATTCAGTTGCCTAATCAGTGGTTCATTTTCTAACCTGTTAGCATTCCATTTTCTGGTTAAAGTGTGTGTGTGTGTGTGTGTGTGTGTGTGTGTGTAGAATAAAACTAAGATGAGCCTAATGCTTTTTTTTGGTACCAGGAATCAAACTCATGACCTTGCGCTTGTCAGGCAGGCCCTTTAAGATGGGCATGGTAGCTGGTAATACCAGCTTTCAGGGAGGCTAAGGCAGAAGAAATGAAAACTGAAGCCTAGCCCTGGGTGATTTAGCAAAATCCTGTCTCAAAAGATAAAATATAAAGGCCCAGGGCTACAGCTTAGTGAGATGGCCCTGGGTTCAATCCCCAGTACTGAAAAGAAAAAACAAAACAAAACAAACAAACAAAAAGTAAAACTAGATTTTACTTTTCTTTGAGAGATTCTGAATGTCTAAAAACTGACCAAAATTTATTTTAATGATAACTTAAGTGGGCTAAATAAGTCACGGTTTATTTAATTCTCTATTCTATTAACAGTGACCATCTCAGAGTGCAGTCTGAATAAACATGCATGCACTGGCTTCTGCTATAGCAGTCTGTCTGCTACCTTTCATTAAGAAAGGGTGAGAGCTAAAGCTATCTAGATGTGGAAGAATTCTCTAAAGGGATTTATTGTGGACATTAAGGAGAAGACAAGACAGCATACATGTCACAAAGTCCTTCATTGATAACAAAGTTTATATAGTAGATGTAATATATTCTTCTTCTATATCTGTGAGCATAGAGTCCAATAAGAGATAGTATTTAAGATATATAAGTGCAATCTATAAGATGGAGAAGTAGAACATACAGTATACTAGATCCTGACAAATGTTAAGAAAGAAAAAGCAAGGCAAGTAGATGGGAATAATTTTTTTCCACTGTGGCAGGAGGACAAGCATTATCATTATATCTAGGAAAAAGTGATCGAATACATGCTCAGGTTAAAAATGGGAAAAACTTTACACCGTACAATGTATTGGGTAAATAGTTAAATACTTGGAAGAAAACAAGGTTAGATCTACCATACTTTATCATCAAAATAACTATCACATGGATTAGTGAAAAAAATTAAAAATCTATAAAAAAATAATATGGGTAAACATTTATCTGATTCCTTAAAGTTCTTTAAGGGATAAAATAGGCATAAAAATGATTTGGCATAGAAAAAATTCCATTTATAATAATATTTAAAAAATGAAATACTTAGGAATAAAAGAATGGAAATTTATACACTGAAAGCTAGAGTTGAAAGAAATTAATGAAGTCCTAAATAAAATAAAGATACCCCACATTCATGGGATAGAAGACATAATATTGTTAAGATGGTAATACTTTCCAGAATAATCTACAGATTTAACAAAAACCAAAATGCTTTCTTTATTATAGAAATTGACCAGGTAGTTATAAAATTCAAATGGAAATACAGGGGCCTCAAAATCCAAAATTGCCTGAACAATCTGAAAGAGGATAGGTAAAAGAATCACACTTCTTAATTACAAAATTTACAATACAAAACTAAAATAATCTGGACAGTAGGGTACTGGCATTAGAGTAGGCATATTGATTAATGGAATAGAATCAAAAGCTCGGAAATAAATCCTCATAAATGTAGTCAATTGATTTCCTGCAAGGGTACTAGGGTAGTTCAATGGTGGGGGAGAATAGGCTCTTCAACAAGTGGTGGTGGGACACTGAAGACACACATACAGAAAAGTGAACAAACCCAACCTCACACCATACACAAAATATTAAATCATAATGAATCGTAGACCCAACAGAAGAGGTAAATCTATAGAACTCTTAAAAGAAAACGTGGAAATAAGTCTTCATGACATTGGGTTAGGCAGTGCTTTCCTAAATGACACAAAAAAAATCAGTGACAAAAGAAAAAACTGGACTGCATTAAAATTAAGAATTTTTGTGCTTCAAACCATACTATCAAAAAAGTAAATAGAAAATGCATAACAAGGAAAAAATATTTGTAAGTTGTATATCTAATAACAGACTCATGCTCAGAATACTTAAAGAACTCTTACAACTCAACAACAGAAAGATAAATGACTCAACTAAAGATAGACAAAAGATTTGAAAAAACATTTTTCCAAAGAAAGGTGTAAATTGCCAATAAGCACATAACAAGGTATTCAACATCATCAGGAATTAGAAAACTAAACTTCAGACCCACAATGAGATACTACAGTACTTCATACCCATTAGGATGGCTAAACTGAAAGATAGTAACATACATTAATGAGGGTAGAAAGAAATTGTAACCCTCAGAGATTGCTGGTGGTGCTGTAAAATGGTGCAGCATCTTTGGAAGAGAGTCTGGGCAGTTCCTGAAAATTTTACAGAGTTATCTTCTGGCCCAAAAATTCTACTCTAGGTTGTACACAAGAGAAATAACAATACATATCTGCACAAAACTTTGTACATGAATGTTCATAGCAGTATTAGTTATAATAGCTAACAAATAGAAATAGTTAAGCATCCATCAACTGACAATGGATAAAATATGTTGTCTCTATACAATGGAATATTATTCAGCAATAAAAAATAAAGTACTGACACAGACTATAGTATGGATAAATATTGAAAACACTTGTTAAGTGAGAAATGTTAACACAAAAGGTCACACATTACATGGTTCATATTGGTAAGAGCATGGAGACAGGAAATAAATGAGTAGTTTCCATGGGTGGGAGAGTGGGGAGTGGTAATGGATTACTTTGTTTTTTTTTTTTTTTTTTTGGTTTTTCTCTGGTACCGGGAACCGAACTCACGACCTTGCTCTTGGCAGGCAGGCGCTTTGCCGCTGAGCTAAATCCCCAGCCCCTGTAATGGATTACTATAGCTCTGGGGTTTCCTTTTAGGGTAATAAAAATGCTCTAAAATTAGATAGTGGTGATGACTGTATAACCCAGTGAACATATTAAGAACTACAAAACTGTACATTCTAGAAGTTCTTTTTGTGGTATGTGGAATTATATTTTGACAAAACTTGTAAAAACTGGGCAATGAAATCAAAAAATGAAAAAAATTCAATAAATGTACTGCTCAAGAAGTAAGACTTGTTACCTTAAAAACACGACAAGCATACAAACTAGGAAAATGTGGAGCACATGCTATGCTTTTAGAACTGAAGAAAACACTGAGTATACATTTAATTTATATGCTACTAAGAAAAACAAAACCTCCCAAGATGTGGAGTCCTTGGAGGACTTTCCCCAAGGCTGGACAGTAAAGAGCATATCCTTTATGAACCTACTAGTTTCCTGCAAGGAAGCTTATGTTTGCTCCCCTGGCATAAGGTTAAAGGAGGTGGAAAACCTTGAAAATCTGAACCACAGCTGGTATTTACACAGGCTTGCAGTCTGAATAAATATAACTTTATGGTTCATCTTAGGCGAAAAACTAAAAAGGAAACAAAAAGCTGCAACAAACCATAGACAGAGAATTTAATTTATAGTGGTCTCAACCTGACAGCAGTTTTAATATGCCAAAGATAGTCAAGAGCAAAAAATATCTTTCTCAGGATAATGAGGTAAAAGGGGGATTATTTCTTTAATATGTGGAGTTCCTATAACTCATGTGGAAAAATAACACCCAATATAAATGGTCAAATGTTATGAAGGTCAATTCTCAAAGGCATTATAAATGGCTATCAAGCACGAGGAATGCTTGAGCCCTACCAGTACTCAAGAAATGCAAAATGAAATGATCAGATAATATTTTTTTACTTATCAGAGTAGCATAATTTTAAAAAGCATGTGCTGGCTGAGGGCTGGTAGAAGACAGACCCATGGGAGCCTTCAGCGGTGCAGTCTCTTCTGGCAGTTGTGCGCAGTTTAGTACCCTATCATTCCTTCTTGGACTCTGTTCCGAGTAAACAAGCCCTAATTGAGATGCAGCATTTATCTGAAATTACGTTCATAAAAATATTAGGTAGAAAAGGAGAAACTACATAACTGCCAAATACTGAAAGAGTGGTAAAATGGATTACGGCACACCCACATAATTTTAATGTATTACAATTTTAAATGATGTTTTGGTAGGCTCTTCAAGGATGTGGGAAACTATTCATGGCATGCTATGTGAAAAACAGGACATATAGCTAAAACTATAAATCATTATGTTACTGGTTTTTCTTTTCAGTTCTGAAGACTGAATCTGGAACCTCATGCATGCTAAGCATTCACTCTTGTCACTGACCTATGATCTGCTAGTGAACAGTTTTATAAGAATTCATAAAGCACAGAAATAAAGATTGGTAGGAAGTACATAAAAATATTAGTGCCCAATAGCTCAAGGTTGTGGGGTACTGAGTAATTGTCACTGTTTTGTTTGTATCTTTCAAACACCAATAAATACTGTAGGAAAATTTGTTCTATGTAAATACAAAACATGAACATTCTACTTTTACAGTTTTTGTGGGTGGCAAAATTATGTTTTGGGCTATAAAACTGGGCCACAGAATAGACAATGAGAACATAAAAATATGTGTATAATAGTTATTTTATCCTTTTCACACAGTTTAAAAACTTACTATATATATATCTATCTCATATATTCACTGTAGAAATTTTAATAAATATCAACATAAGGAAAAATAAAATCCCACATAATCCTTTGACTTGAAATATATATTATTAACATTGGCTTAGTTTGCTTTTCTTTTTTTAATCACTGAAGGTTTGAAGTTAGGATGTTGATTTGATATTTTTCTTCTTTTTTATTTACTTATTTTTGTCTTTTTAAGACAGAGTCTTGAACTCACTCTGTAGCCCAGGCTGGCCTCAAACTCGCAACGATCCTCCTGCCTCAGCCTCCCAAGTGCTGGGATTACAGGCATGCATCACCACCCCCAGGTCTGCTTTTTTAAACAAACTTCTTTATCTCTATAAATTTCTCTTGGAGCACTGCCTTTGCAGGATCCCATAAATTGCTGGCATGGGCATTTTCATTTGTCTCTGAGTTCTTCTATATCCCCTGCGATTTCTTTAACCTATCAGTAGTTTAAGAGTATGTTGTTTAATTTTCACATATTTGTAAGTTTTCCAGATTTCATTTTTTTATTGATTCATCCCACTGTGATGAAAAGGGTATTTCATATGATTTTAATATTTTTAATTCACCAAGACCTGGTTTGTGGCCTCCATGGTCTATCCTGGAGAATGTTCCATAGGGATAACTACTTTCATAGCTTTACATGTCTCATTAGAATTCTGCTGTGCATTTAAGGTACACAGACTGATAACCACACTCATGTAAGTAAATCTATACTTATGTGACTAACTGTACATCTAATACATTTCCACTGGTTGCATACAATTCCATTATTTGACTATACTATAATATATTTAACCAATATATTACATGGTTGAACATACACACATACTAGTTTTTTCACCAAAGACCAGGGCTAATGATTATTATGTCAATAAATACCTGATTAGGGTACATAACCATAATTACTAAATGATTACTAATGTAGGGAAAAAAAGTTTCAACTCTTCCAATAAAAATTTTACAGAGAGTAAAGTCAGCAGCTAAGTACTATAAGAAATTTTCGTACTAATCTTACCTTGAATTTTCTTGAAAACTCTGGAATTCATAAACTTTAGAAATCTGTCTGCATAAAAACTTGGTCTATGAACTGAAACAGTGTCCTGAAAAGATAAATCAAGGATCACAGGATTATCTTTTGAGAGTTCATTCAAGTTAGAAGCAAAATCTCTATAAGTGGTTCTCTGCTGGCTACTGTTCTGGCCAAAGTACCCACAGGCTAGAAAGAGAAAGCTCCTGTGTCCTGTGGGGCCCCGGAGCCTGGTCTGGGGAGGAGAGCACAAACTCAATCCAAACAAAGGTTCTAGATGCTCAACATATACTGGAGCTTTAGGGGACAGAGGATTGATGGCCAAAGGACTCCGCTACATACATCAGAGAGCTGACGTTTAATCACAACACTGGGTCCCCAGAGGGGCTTCTACATTCTGTTTTTACAGGTAGCCAGTGCTTCCAGTGTCATTTGGAAAGGAGGGTAGTGCTCTTAGCCATGGATAAAAATCAGGGCCATAAATAAACAGAACAACTCTAATGTAAGAACGACACTTCAGCCAAAGTGTTCTGGCTTCACCTCCAAGTGACAAGATGAATGAACACTAGGAGGATTCCTAGGAGACAGGGCTAACCGATGTGACACCAAATTATCTACTGATCAAACAGGAGCGAAATGTTAACTCTTCTCTCAGGCTTGGCAGGACTCTAACACCATAGGGTCATTTTACTACAAATCTAAGAAAGGGAATAGATGAATGAATGGATTGCTTCTGTTCATTCATAATCAATTATTGGCTCTCTAAGCTGTACATTTCTGGAAATTTGCTTGTATGCATACCACTCCATTTTCAGTTCAGGTTACGGATTTTAACAGGTCAATTTCTAAAAATTTAATTTTAGATGCTACAAAGTATCAACAGTGAGGATGGGGGGAAAGCCCCCACAAAAGCTAGGAGACCTGGTTTTAGCGTGAGCTCTAACTTTAAAAGGTTGCGTGATCCCAGGAACAGCTAGAGACTCAGGGCCTCAGTTTCTTCCTCTGTGAAACAGGGTGTTCTAGCAGCATAATCAGCACATGAGAAAGGAACAGTATCACGGCCCCTTTTTGGCATGTTCTGAGGATCCTCTAGTCTCTTGGTAAGGCTGTGATGTGGCACAACATTTACCCCTGGTACAACATGCTTAGTGTAATATGCATTCTTCCCAGGGTGCTGGCAGTTTCTGCCTGAAGTGGACACCTTCTCACAACAAGTACAGTAATTTAGCACTATCAGCAGGATGCAAGGAGTATCTGTAGAAGACTGAGGCCTAGTGTAAAGGAGTTCCATTCTTATTCTCTAATATGAAGAAACACTGTCTATGTAAGGGTCATATTTATAAACAAACAAAAATCTCGATTATGCTTATGATGTCACAAATATATAATTAGCATGGAGATTTTCTTAAAAAATGAACAAATAAAAAAGAGAAGATGTGTTTTAAATGGACAAAGTTAGGGCCGCATAGAAGCATCTGGCCAGCCCAGGACTGGGCCACTGAGATCAGAAATCTCACCAGCTTTTTTTTTTTTGGTACTGGAAATTGAACTCATGACTTCAGGCTTGCCAGGCAAATGCTTATACTGCTGAGCTATATCCCCAGCCCCAGAAATCTCACCAGGTAACAGGGGTTGGAAGCTGTGTCAGCAAACAGCGGGGGAATGATGCAGAAGCAGGCATGTTTGTTCTTTCTCCCTTCCATGTTCAAGGTGCTAGGCTGTCTTTACCTTTCTCAGCAGGAAGTGAAACTAAAATTAACTCACCATTTTGAATTTCTCTATTTTTTTTTTGGTACCAGGAATCAAACTCATGACCTCAGGCTTGCCAGGCAAGCGCTCATGCCACTGAGCTATATCCCCAGCCACACAAGTCTTTCATCTGAATAAGCTTGTGGTTACATCTTAGAACCAAATTTGTGAGCCTCTTGTTTAAAAGTGCATTGTGACAGAGGTCAGCCCTTAGCCCATGGACAAACTACAGATCTTTCAAGCTGCAAGATTATTAACAGTCTTCCACAAAACTGAAAAATGTATGTTCTTTTCCAGGAAGGAGAAGAACAACATCTATAATTTATCCTCTTTAAAAGGAAAGTATCTGCAAACATCTTAAAAGAAAATGTGGGATCAAATTCTGGACCATTATATTCTTTGGAAGTGCCATATGCAGTCATTAACTGAGGGAAGCTTAAGTCAATAACTATTCTGTTGCCAGCAGGAGGTTGAAATCTAACATCTAGATACTTGTACATGTGAATGTGTGTGTGTGTGTATGTGTGTGAGAGAGAGAGAGAGAGAGAGAGAGAGAGAGAGAGAGAGAGAGGAGACAGAGGCAGACTTCACTTTGATATTTGATTTTTCCCTAAGTAAATGTATGATGTAACTCTATGACACCTTCACATCAGCCGGCATGTATAAATGTCCAAGTCTATAAACATGTACATTCACACCAACAAACATTTTCACTGTGCATGTCCTTCTTATGTGGCAGGCATCATGATGCATACTAACATGCATTATTGCATTTTATCCTCACATTGGGCAGGTTGTGTGTCTATCCCCAGGCTACTGGTGAGAAACCAGCTTAAGAGAGGCCACATCATATGCATGTGCGTACCCAGGTCACTCAGATAGTGAAGTTCAAATCCAGTGTTCCTGTCGTCAAAGCCAGGTCCCTAAATAACTTCACTTTGACAGTCTCAATCTTCCCAGTGCCTTTGAGAAGAGTCCTATTTTTTCTCTCCAGTATCTCATAATTGAGGTCTTTGCATTTTACTCTGAAACAACCACCACTTTACTGTCTGGGCTGTCACATGGCCAGGAAGCTGGATGTCATCTGTTTGAATAGCTCCTCAAATTTATGTGTTTCATGTTCTCAGATCTGAACCAACGTGCTAGTCTGAGATTCTGGGTTATAAAAAACTTTGCTCCTCTCTGAAAGGTCAGGGGTGCAGTCTCCCAAACACACTCAGAAGTCTCTGAGAAATCAGAAGACATGCAGTCTAACAAGAAACAGGAGTCACTTACCCCATCATATACAAGAGCTTTCCAGGAATGTTCTAACTTCTTCATTAACCTGAATATAAATGGAAAATTAGCAGTAAGAATGCAAAACCATTCACATTTGCTGAATTTTCTAAAACATGTTTAGACTCTTTTTGAAATAAAAAATCATTTCTCAAAATTTCTCACCTATATGATTGTAGAATGTCAATAATGCCCATAAATAAAAGCAATTTTTCTCCCTTATGGCTTTTAGCTGGAATGCCTCCCATTCTGTTGACAGGACATAAAAGAACACATTTTATAAGTATGAAAAGTTAAAAATCATTTTAAGTAAATAAACTGAAAATAAATATCTCCAAACTCTGGTTTCTCTTCAGAGCCTATAAATCTTTTGCCTTTTACTAAAGATTTCAGTGGAGAGGAACAACTGATCTTAAACCAATTTTTTAAGGCCTTGTTTCAGCAAGGCTACATGAAAAAAAATCTCGAAGAAGTCTGGGAAATGTCCCCATTCACTATCTTTCTTTCTTAATTTTTGTGTGAGTTAATTAGCCTTTCTGAGAATCCAGAATCATGTGCTTCCCTCCAGAAGAGAATAACTAACATCAGAGCCGTCAACTAGGAGAGGTGGATGGGAAGAACTCAATCTTAAAATTATTTCCATTTCTAAACTGTGAATGAAAAGTTTTAGAGCACTATGAGATATTGCTTTGAAATGTGATACCTTTTTTTCTGACAGAATAAGATGATTACTGTGATATTTTTATGAAATAAAAATAAAAGCACAGCCGGGTGTGGTGGCGCACGTGTGTAATCCCAGCACTTGGGGGGCTGAGGCAGGAGGATCGTTGTGAGTTCGAGGCCAGCCTGGGTTACAAAGTGAGCTCTGGGCCAGCCTGAACTGCATAGTGAGACCCTGCCTCAAAAAGACAAAAAATAAAATAAAATAAAATAAAATAAGATAAAAAAGCACATTGAGGAGAATATACAAAAATTCTATTTCCACGGCAATACGAATTAACATTTGGTTCCTTTTTCTAATATGTGGGTGTGTGTATTAATTTACAAAGAAGGTTATTTATCATGTTTTATAACCTAATTTTTTTTACTTGCTAAATGATAACCATTTCTTCATATTTGGAGCAATGTGATTTTTAATAGCTATGTAGTACTTCATTATACATATATAGATTACTTTGTTCAATGGATTATTGAACATTTAGTTGGCATTTTAAGCCAGGATTAGAAAAAGTTTAGTGTGTGTTAATTTTCTTTATAAAAATGAAAGATGCCTGTGGTCTAGTCGCTGTTAGGGAATCCTAAAGGGCAGGCGCTTATGGCTACAGGAAATAATCTCTTCCTTTAGTCCCCTTGCTCAGCTTGTGTGCATACGTGATGCAATTCACATTATCAGTGATTTTCACTGGTTGCAACTGTTTCTGTTGTTAATATGCACTTTCTACACACAAATTAATTCTGCAGCTACTATTACATCTGGCTGAGATGCGAGACCACATCTGCCAGGGTGCAGGACTAAATCAACAGAACCCCTTCATGTAGATAAAAAGCTCTGAATTGTGGACATCATTCCCATCTTGTATTTGCTTAGCTATACATTTATTCAAATCCAAAGTGTATTCTTCCCTCTTACAGTAGATGTTTTGAATATGTAGTATATGGGGTGAAAATATTTTCAGCCATTGTGAAAACAAAAGGAGCCCTCTGAGAAAAGAAACCATGTAGGTGAAAGGATAACAATGACTCAGGAAACTGCCCCCATCTGGTTATCCATATGCATGTGAAGGCTGGCTTAATTCATTTTGGCACCAACTAGAACTCTATTCCCAGGTGCCCCCATAAAAGGGATGGGACTGCAGGTAACTACCCAGTGAGGCGGGTAATCAGGACGGGTGTGTGACTATGCTTACGTGTCTGCATTCTCTGCAATGATTCCATCTCCAGATTTTCCCGGACCCTGGATGGATTCCATGGCTGTTGAGTAGAGGACTTTCTGCATCCCAGGACGCTTTGCATCAGGCACGTTTTGTGAGGACTCCTCTTCTTTGTCCTTAAGGGAATGGTCTAAGATGTGGATTCCTAGCAAAAGGCTGTAGTCCATGATCTTGAAGCTTTCTAGCACCTGAGGAAGAAAGACAACCAGGAGGCCACTCAACCTAAATGGCTTATAAGTCTCATGTGCCTAGAACCGGAGGACTCTAGATATGCAGACATACTTCTCCTGTATACCTGCTGTGGAGTGACAGAGATTGGAAAATCTAAAATGAAAACACTTGATATCATTATTAGGTTACAGGCAGGAAGGACTGTCACACTGACTGCAAGATGAGATTTTTAGGCAAATCTAAAGCAAATATATCTTCTCTTGATGTTCTATGAATCTAGCATGTTTATTGAACCCTTCCTATGTGCCAGGTATAAAGTACTTCACTTGAATTCAGTCCTTAAAACAGTTCCATGAACTAGGCATTATTATTGTCTGTATTTTACAGGTGAAAAAAATTGAGGCAAAGGGATGTAATCTGCTAAATGACATAGTCAGCATATAAGTGACAGAGCCCCAAGGGGTCGACTCCGGCATCTACTCTTAATAAGCACCAAAGTAGGGAAACTAACAAGCAATAGTCTGCAAACTTTTACCCTCCTCAGCATGAAGACCCAGTTGTGATGTGTTTTTGCCTCGCATCTGTTTCAAAAATCCTAATTTTGCTGAGTTTAGTGGTCTGTTTTTCAAAGCCTATCTTTCAGAGTTGCCATTCAGTTCCCTGTAGCAAGTCCTTTAAAACTAGATAATCTCAACTAAGAATAGGATTTAACACTTAATTACCCACTCAGCAGACAGTGCGGAGGTGAAGGAATTCAAAACATTTGGATGTAACCAGACAAAAGAGAGAAATGCCTCAAATAAAAAACGACAGGGGACAAGGGCTGGATAAAAATCTGTCAGAGTGGCTGTATAGTCCAGGAATGTTTGACACTCTTGGCCCTTCTTAGATGGAAAAAGAATGTTCAGGAAGAGTGCCTGGAAACTGGGTGCTTTCTTCTATGAAAAGTTATTTTTCTACTAGTTTGTATACGATTTTCCCCTAGAATCAGTTTTGTAGTACTTGGTATCTGTCACACAAAGCTCAGGAAATCAAAGTTGCCCAGAAAGTAACACAATCCTGGTTGGCAGAACAGCCATTATGATACTAATTCCTCACGGTCATTCCTCACAGTGGTCGAGAAACTAGAGATGCTAATTCGAAGGAAATACCTTCAGAGCCACGCTTCTGAAACCAAAAATTGCCTAGAAAACAACAAAAATATAACTGCATTTCTAGCCTGCTTGCCAGTGTCATTTGGCAAATCCTAATTTCTTTAAGAGCTCTGAGGTTGTGAGTATGCAGCAGAATTGCCTGGGTATTCAACAGGAAAAGCTTGGACTTCAGCATGATTGCCTCATAACCTTTATGGGAAAAGCTCCATTTTCAACCAGCAAAAATACACAGCTTGTGCTGTGCATAGCCCCTACAGTACCCACTTATAAATATTTCCTCTGAAACAGTGAACTGGCTTCAAAAGCAAGTTCTAATCAGACTCTTTCATAGCACTGCTGATCTTCCTAACAGCACTCAGAATCATTTACTAGAGCTAGTTGATCAAAGTTGAAAGGCATTCCTGAGACCATCCTATTTATTTTATTTTCCTATGGAATGTATTCACCAATTAATTATTTTCTTTATAAAATAAATTTTTCTTATATTTTTTCAGGCAATGTTAAACCTAAACTGTTTGGTTTGTATTTGCAGAATCTTTTGTTGCCCATATACACTGTGCATTCTACGTGAGATAGGAAGTCAGGTTGTAGTCCATCTTAACTAGTGGACAAAGTAAGAAACTATCCTGAGGGAGCTGGAGATTTAGCTCAGCGGCACAGCACCTGCCCAGCAAGTGCAAGGTTGTGAGTTCGATTCCTGGTCCCAGAAGAAAAACAAAAACAAACAAACAAAAAAACAAAAGAAAGAAACTATCCTGATGTTAAGTAGTCAAATATTTTTTTTGGGGGGGTTTGTTTCCTTAAAAAAGAATAACCTTTATAGAGAGGACAGTAGTTACCAGATCCTTGGGAGGACTTGTGTGTATATGTGCGTGTGCATGTGTGTGTGTGTGTGGTGGTGGGATGCAGAGGGTATGGTTGCTGCATACATTTGTATAGGAGGAATAACTTCCAATGTTTGAAGGAACGCACAGCAAAATAACTATTAAGTAAAGACATCTATTAATTATATATTTTAAACTGGAGGATTTTAAATGTTCCCAACACAAAGAAATGTCTGAAATGACAGATACCTCAGTCACCCTAATCTAATAATTATAAGTTACAAACATGGATCAAAACAAAATACTGTAGCCCATAAATATGTAAAATTATTATGTGTCAATCAAAAATATATTAAAAAAGAAACCTTCAGGGTAGGGGCTATAGCTCATTAGCAGCACATTTGCCTAGCATGTACAAGGTCCAGGGCTCCATCCCCAGCAGCACTGCAAAAACAAAAACAAAACAAACAAAACCAAGCCCTTAAATTGGTTTGCCAGTATCCAGGAAAAGTGCTGCTACCCTCAGGAGGTCAAGGCTCCTACTTTCAGAAGGGAAGTCATAAAAAACAAATTGTATCACTGCAGTGTGAAAAGTTGATCTAAGAGTTTTGGTTAGGCAAAATCACCATCCACAAAAAAGTTAAGAAACAAAAAGATAAATGTATGTGCATGTATTTAAAATGTAGAAACCTTTGTAATGAACAATTCTAGGAATAGATTTTAATCACCTATTTTTAAAGATTTTCATCAACTAGGGACAATATAATATTCTTATTCATGTCACAGTCCTTTGACTAAAGAAATTGATAAATCTGCTAAAAACTTCAACTACATGTTGCAATACTGTGTAACACGATGGTCTTTCCAGTTTGTCATTTCTAGAATGCCTGTCTGACCTCACAGCTGCTGGAAGATTCTGTACTTGTGCATTTGCCATTCAAAACACAAGTCACAGTGCAAATACAGGTGCCTTTCCATCTAGTTTGGGCAGTAATTTACTTGCTCACTTGCAAAGTAACAAAACAGAAAGCATTCCCAATGTTATATAAAACTGGAAACAAGTTGGAAAACTGTAATGTTTTTTATTGTCAAAGTCAGGTATGTTTTCTTCTCTCCAGCACTAATCACTGGAATATATATCTGAAATACTGGGTGGTATTTCAGCAAGTCTGGGTAAGAACTAATGATATTTGAAAGAAGTAGGGGTAATACAGGAGTGTGAGGGGGAAGTAGACAGATTTGATAACCTTTTACAGATAGATTCCACTACCATCTTTCTACAGACAATTGCTAAATTGTCTTTTTTTGCGGGGGGGATGGTACCAGGAATTGAACTCAGGACCTCACACTGGCCAGGCAGGTGCTGTACCCATGAGCTAAACCCTGGGTTCCACAATTGCTAAATTGTAATCTTTGGTTTGATTTTTTCCTCAGCTGCATCCCTATACATTCCCAGTGGCCTTCTGAACATTTTTAAACTTCTATACATGGTCATATTGCAATCTAAACTTTTATTTTTGGCCAAAGCGGGTCTTTCTTGTCACTTCCTATTTCTATTTGAAATCACTCTGGTGTGGATTTCAGACTCCACAACTTCCTTTCCTTTCATGAGTTGCCCAGTTCTATCTACAGGTTCTATTTTCACTGCCCCCCACCCCGATGAATTGACTTCAGTTTCCCTTTTGGATCCATTCGGACTCTTTGTTTGACCAGTTCACTCCCCCACCCCCCAAAGCCTTCAGACTCTTGCCATTGCTTGGTGCCAACGACTCAGGTTGACACTGAAAGTGCTGGTTACTATCGCCCCACCCAGTGACTCTGTCATTTAATACCAGCCTAAAAGCCTCCAGTCTACTCAAACTCAAATTCCTTAATTTTCCCCAAATGTGCTAAAAAAATGTAAGGCCTGGTGTTTTTGCTCATGTAGTTGCTTCCTGAAAATTCCTACTATTTTTTCAATTCCTACTGTTTTGTTTAAAGTCTAAGTCAGTTGTCACCTCCATAAAAATTGTACTAATGATTCCACAAATTTTCAGGACTATTTTTCCCCTCTGAAAACCTGAACACATTAATGGTGTTCCTCTGTGGTATAAAACTGAACCTCAAGTTATATCTGCATTTTTTCCTATAACCACACAAGACTCGCTCATCAAAGCCTTGTTTTACTTTGTGCTTCCTACTGTGAGCTCTGAACATAGTTGGAATGCATATTTGTTATATGGGTTCCCATGTGTATAAGTAAAATCCAAAATATTTAGCAGCAAAGAATGTCCTAAATATAAGGCATGATTACAATGCCTTAGAAAATCTTTCAGTACTGAAAACATTAATTGGGATTATGTCCATGTTGTCAGAAAAACAAAGACAAAAGTCCACACTGTTTTCAAACCTACTTACATTATAGGCATTTTATATACACTAGGCCTCGGGCAAAAGGCAAACTAATATTTACAGACTCTTTTAATTGACTGGTAGTCACACACCTGAATGGCAGATGAAAGGCAAGTGGTTTTCCTCTAAACTAGGCTGTACATTGAGGCTTGCAAGATGGACACGCTTCTCTTTGGGAAATGTTTAGTAAGAAAACGCATCATAGGTGGGGGTCAACTACTCTTTAATCACCTAAGAGTGCTTGGTGCTGGCCCTAAGATGGACACTCTGTTTTGGACTACATCTCTGAGCTTCTTTAGTTTTCCTGGACTTTGTTCGTCTGCTTGTCCAAACCACCAGAAATGCAAAGTTAAGTTAGCAAAAGGTTGAGAAAAGACAATTACTAGATGGATCCAAAATACCTTTGAAAACAGCTGCATTTAAAATTGTTACCCAGCACCAGAAGATATTAAGAGTGGTAAATAGAATGCAATCCAATCTCTCTGTAAGTTCTCCTTATGCAAAATGGAGAAGGATGATGCTGATTTTAACAAAAAAAGAGATGCTTTATTAATTGGGCATTAAGCAAGTATGGTTTCTAATAATTTCCCATGTCACAAGGGTTCTTACAAAACTAATCCCATCAGTATATATTTTATTGTGTGCCTA